CTGCTTCTGCAGTGCCTCATCTGTGGTGTTGTACATATGGTGCATATGCTGGGGAGACGATAGGAAAGGCACCTCTGAGGATGCCACAGCATCAGGCAGGCGCTTGACAAACTGCTGCTGCTGCTGCTGTTGCTGATGCTGCTGCTGAGCCTGCCTCCCGCGCTGCAGATGCCGCCGTTGCGGCTGCTTCCCATGGTGCAGATGCTGCTGCTGCGGTTGCTTCTCGTGTTGCAGATGCTGCTGCTGCCGCTGCATCAACAATAAATCGTGCGTCCTTACTTGACGTTCCAACTGCACTTCCTCCTCTGAGACAAGCAGGGGCTTAATCATGTTCAAGATACCGCTTGCGTAGGTTGCAGAAGCAGTAGGCGGGCTCTGAACAGCAGCAGCTGGTGGTCTGTTGTGATGCTGGTGCTGATGGTTGCGTAAGTGAGACGCGGACTCTGCAGCACGCGTATCCGTTGTGCAGCTGCGGCGGCGTGCTGGGGAGGGGCAGATGCTTGCTGCAACGGGCGTGGGGATCCTGCCGCTTCTTCCTTCCCTTGGGCCCGAAGCATACGCCCCATGCGCTGCAGCATAAGTAGCAGGGGCGGATGCTGCAGCCGTTACATGGTGCTTATGCTGCTGAGTTGCCAAAGGGGAGGTGCTTCCGGTGCTCGGAGATATGCTTCTGTGCGAATCTTGATGCATGCTGCTGGGTGGTGCTGCAGTAGACCTTCTGCTGCGTGCTTTTGTCATCTTGCTGTTGCTGCTGGATAGATGACTGCAGGCGCGAATTCGCAGCAGACGCCGCCTCAAGAAGGCATATATCTCCGGCGTGTAGACAGCTGCTTCAGGTTGCATGCTCTGCTGTGCTGCTGCAACATCGGAAACGAACGCTGCTGCTACTGCCGCAGCAGGAGCCCAGCTGCTGCTTGTTGCGCTGTCTTTGCAACCAGGAACTTTTCCGTCTTTTGAAGCACCTGCTTCTGCAGGAGTTGATGCGATAGGCATGCATGCATCAATCCAGTGAAGGACCCACCCTGCAAGCTCGTCTGCTTCTGCGGAACAAACACAACAAAACAAACGAGAAAGGGCTGCTTTGTTGCGTTGCTTGTTACCCTGTTCCCTTTCTCGTGTTGCCTTTTTCTGATGCTCCTGTCTCTTGGTGCGGTCACTGCTGATGCCCCCCACCTAGCATAAGGCAAAGTAGCAACAGTCGCGGGGCCTGCTCCTTTGTAAACCCAATCCTTTTAACGAGAGATCCTTCTTCACGCAGCGTATCAGCAATTTCGCTTGATCCTGTTTCTGCTGCTGCTACTGTCGCTGTTGGAACATCCGCCGTCTCTTCGGCTGCAAGTTTCCGTGGCAGCGCGCTCAAGCACATCAACTGCAGCAGCAGCAACAGCAGCAATGAAAACAGTATGAACATATGCAACAACAACTATGGGGCAATGGGAGAGGATAGAACAACAGAAAAAAGCAGCGCTGTGCTGCTGCAGCACGAGCAGCAACAGGAATGGGCTCTA